TTTATGCCTGTTCCGAAAATGCATGCACAATAGGAGGTAAGAAATCGCTCCACCCTAATCTATATACTATATATTGTATATATACAGGGTGTTTCAGAAATAGTTGGCCAAACTTTAAGAGTATATTCCACTCATTATAAAGATGAAAAAAAGTCATATAATCATGGATTCGGAAACGCTTTCTTTTCTAGTTATAAACATTTCTTATTTACATTATACGTATTTACGTTGAACGACATGCCTCGCTTCGACGTTTCATAAATTGTACTTCCATTCTAAAGTAAACAAAAGGTTATTAGATAGGTCTGTATGGATTTGGAATCAGTCTTTATTTAAGTCTTTCTTTACTTAGCACGAGAGCAGATCGCATTAGAAATGCAAAACATTTCATCCTCAACTGTGTGGAGGATATTAAACGAAACTCTTTTGTATCCCTTATATCACAAGTACAAGCTCTCTTACCAGCGGATTATCCATCACGAGTAATTTTTGCTCACTGGTATTTGCAACAGTGTACTTTTCCAAATTTTAAAAATGTTTATAACTTGGAAAGGAAGCATTTCCGAATGTTTAAATGACTTTTTTTTCATCCTTATAATGATCGGAACATGCTCTTAAAGTTTGGCCAACTATTTCTGAAACATCCTGTACATATGTATGTGTATATATATATATATTCAAGTGTTTAACAATATGTTTAGAAAGCTTTTAATGATTGTCATTTTAATCGATATTAATAAGAAGATAGTATCTGTAAAAGAACGATCAAATCTTCAATTGTGGGTAAACTTTAAATTCATGTACATATATACAACACATATATTATAAAAAATATACTATACATATATGTATATGTAGAAATGCAATGCATACTATAACAAAATTTTTTATAATATATGTGTCGTATATATGTACATGAATTTAAAGTTTACCCACAATTGAAGTTTGATCGTTCTTTTACAGATACTATTTACTTCTTATTAATATCGATTAAAATGACAATTATTAAAAGCTTTCTTATAAAAATATTATTAAACACTTGAATATATATATAATATAAATATTAATCTTAAAGTGAACTTAAGTAATGTGCTTTATATAAAGAGGAAGGTATTTATTATATTAAAATATAATAAGATATCGTAAATTATAGATTTATTACAACAAATAATATATAGATGTTTAAAATTATCTTAAATATGAAAACACACACGCATATACATGTACTTTATATATTGATTACTCTCCATGTCCGGCAGCTCTACGCAATAATACATATATCTTTTCCTTGATCCAATCCTTATTGTAGGGAGCATAAGTATTTGTAGATTTTTGATACACCAGACAAAATAAATGCGTTAACTGATCAACAAAATCAAATAATTGACTAATGTCATAAGTAATAGTTGGAGTGTTTGGATTTCGTCTCTTAAGATGTTCTTCATAAATTTTACAAACACCTATAATAGTAAACAAATAATTAATATAAACTCATAATTAGTATTGGAATATCATCAAAATACGTGTGTGCATTCGTACGCATG